TTACAAATCTTATGACAATCCATCATTCGGTTGAATGAAGCACACTTGCACATATGTTGCCATCAGCATTTCCAAAACGTTTTCTTTCTCCTTGGGATCAGCTCCTCTTCCCCCACTTCCCCCCTTCGGGAATCCTTGATCAAGGATATGTTATTGTTGCTGTTTTGTATGTTACATTGTCTGTTGTCTCCCTTCACCCACCTTCCTGTTATTCGCCCCCCTGGGGAGTGGGCTATATAGCCAACCTTGTGATTGGTCCCCCTTTCTCACCCCCCCCATCCCCCTCTCCTCACGCGAAGGCTACTCTCTGACCCTCTTTCAATGAAGGTCCCTGCAGGTCGTTCTGTGTGTCACTACACTGCGGGTTTCCGGGGACCAGAGGGCGCCTGCTCATGAGAGCAACAGACAGAGGCCAGCCAAGAGCTGGGTCCAGGTTGGACCATGCCCACATTTGAGCAGCCTCGCCTGGCTACTGGGAGGACAGTGGGTCTGCTGGTGATGGGAAGTGGCCGGTCTCTGCAGGGACTCGGCCAGCTCTGCCTGTGGTTGCCTCAGCGTCTCCTAGACAGCCTTCTCCATCCCGGAGCCCCCTGGCTGCCTTGGGGAAGGGTAGGGAAGGGCAAGGGTAGGGAAGGGCAAGGGTAGGGTGGAGATGAAGAGGCCCCCTTCCACCCCCCACAACCCCAACCGGGATCTTGCAACACTGGGATGGGGGCCCTGGGGGCCAGGCATGTGGCAATCCCTGGGGAGGGGGGAGGTGTGCTCCGAGCAGGGGGGGAACAGCTTTCACAAGCCACCCACGCCTGACCTTGGCCGGCTCACCTTGGGCCGCTTCCTCCCTGCAGCACGGTGTCACCCACAGCCTTCCTCCTCTTCCGCAGCGGCCCTGGGGCCTGGAGGTCTCCGAGCTCAGGGTCCCCAGGCCTGTGCCGCCTGAGCTGTGGATTCTAGAGCCAGGGGGATGGCTGCGAGTGCTCTTTGAAGCCCGATTTTCCGGTATTCAAAAGTCACCCCGCACCGTCCCCAAGCCCAGCCTCCCCTCCACCCCCCCATGTGGAGCTTTCCCTGGCCCCTCATCTCCTGCCTTCTCCTTCCCTTGTAGCAGCTCTGCTCCGGTGAAGGTGACCGGAGGTGACTGGAGGGGCTTAGGCTGGGGGGCAGGGAAGCCAGTTCTCTGACCCAGCCCAGGCCCTCGCAGCCCCCCCCCCCAACCCCCAAATAGGAGATGCCACTTGCCTCCCTTTCTTGTTCTGCATCACTGGACATCTCGGCCCTTTGTGGTTAGCCTCTCGAGGGCCACCCCCACCCCCAATTTGTCACAGCTCACCCCTCATATTTTAGCTCTCCACTCTCAGAGAGGCCCTTTTTTGACCACCCCAATGAAAACAGCCTTCCTGAGGGTGTTTCCCAAAGGGGCACCTGCCTGATGTGGAGCCTGCAGGGTGGGGAAGCCTGTGTGAGGGAGCGGTGTGGTGGGGTGCCTGTCCAGGAGGGAGCCAGGTAAACCATGAGGGTCACTCTCCTGCCGGGCTCCCCTTGCCCTACTGGAACCCTGTACAGAGAAGGCAGACAGAGTAGGGTGTTGAAGGGCAGAGGGGAGCTGGGTGAGGGTGCGGGTAGTGGGGGGCAGGCCAAGGAGGACACCTAGCACATTTGTTTACGGACTTTTTCTTCCACCCCTTCATCTGAGAACTGGGGTCCCCACCCCGCTGGTTCTCCCTGGTGTTCTCAGCACCTAGCAGAGACCTGGCACACAGTGATTGCCCAACAAACACATGGACCAGGAATCAGTGACTTTGGCCCAAACTGATCCAGGTCAGGTTAAAAAGCAAGTGGGCTCCCGGCTCGGCTCCCCATCTTCTTGCTCCGTGAGGAGATCTGACTGCAAGGATTAGGGTGTGTTCAGCTACTCTGCCTTGTTCTGGGACCCAGGCCCCTCATAGGGAGCTAGGCGGAGGCCGATGGGGGCTTGGCTCTACTTCAGTTCAGTGCTCCTCAGAAAGTCTCTGGCAGGCACCCACTGAGGGCTGGCGGGGGCCGGGGAGGATGCAATTCAGAGCCCTGGGAACAAAACGGAAGCAATCCCGGCACCAGCACCCTGAAAGTAAGTTCAGGCTAACATAATAAACAGCTTTCCTCTTTCAAAAAAGGAGGGGAAAAGTCAAGAGGCTTTGACCTTGAGCTGTGAGGAAGAAATCTGAAGGTCAGCACTGACCTTGTTTTATACTAACACCCGCCCCCACCCCTCTATGCAACTTAGCCTTCTGGGCCGAAAGGGAGGTTCGAGGATTCCCCTAGCCATCTACAGAGATCACCTCCCCCCCTGCCAAAAGCAGGCAACTCCCCACGGAGTCCCTCAACAGGCCTGAAGCGGGTGAGGGGACACATTGTCTATCGGGGCCAGGTCTGGCCATCTAGGTGGGAGGGCCGCTTAGGAACATGGAGGCCGGGGCAGGAAAAGGATTGATCCTGGGTGGTAGGCTGGGTACTCAGGGTGCCACAGGAGGCAGGCTCTAACCCTTCAGGGGTGGGGCAGGGTGGAGACCGAGAAAACCCTGGCAGCTCCAGGACCCAGTCTCTGCTCCTCAGTGACCTCTCCTCTCTCGACTAAGACTTTCCCAGGAGTGTCCTCGGAGTGGTTGATGGTGGCCGAGGCCCGAGGGCCTCTGACATGACCTATTGGGTGAGACTTTTCGTGCCCCACCCTGTGCCAAGGAGGAGGAGGAGCCGGAAAGGGGGAGGGCAGGTGCCCTGGGCCGAGACAGGAAAGGGTCGGAGCGTAAGAGACACTCTTATCCCTTCTGGCCCTCAACTGCTTTATCTAGAGAATGTGGCTCACACTATCTTGCTTGTTTGAGGCCAGAGCCCACCAGACGATCGTGATTTTATGAGGCTCCTGTTCGGTTTGTGCCTCTCACTAGCCAGCTGCGCGATCCTTTAGGTAACCCCATCCCCTCTCCGAGGTGCCATTTTCCTCACCTGTGAGACGTGATGTTTCAGTGAGCTCTCCTCTAAGGAGCTTGCTGCTCTAGGAAAATAGACCCCACCTCCCGCCCACCAACATAGCACGTAATCCTCCATAGGTCTGCGCAGCTTCGTGCATTCCACAGTACATGCCGTGAAACGGACGTGGTGTGCTTTGTGTGCTATGTGAACACCACAGTCAAACCTCATGGGTCCTGCTCTCCGTTGTCCTCGTTGCTCCTCTGGGGTGGCAGATGGCGGCTGGAGGAAACGGTGGCCCAGCAGAGCCAAGGGGAGGGAGTCGTGTGAACCTTGGTGCAGCTGAGGAGCCTGCTGACCAGAGCCAGGACTCCATGGCCAGGGCCCTGTCCTCGGCCTCACCCCACTGCGTCCCACCACGCTCAAAGCCTGTGGGTCTGGGTTTGGAGTCTTTAGCACCGCACCCACCCTATTGAGTCCACTTTGACTCAGGGTCCCTCTACCAGGCTTCTGAGACTGCAAATCTTTTTGGGGGGAACCAAGACCCCCCTGTGGCGGGTTGTACTACTGACCTTGTGGGTGGCCATGGAATGCCTGACCTATAGACCACCTGGGCTTTCTTTTCCACTCTGCTTTCGGGGTTCCCTGGCACAGGTAGGCTGTTGTTTTCCTCCTCATTGTCAACATTATGTTTATTTTTTCAGATACGAATCAGACCTCAAGGCTTTTGCCAACACACTCCCTCTCCACCTGCCCTCACATTCTCACATCTCAGGGGATTGGGACCCCGGGGAAGAAGGATGGAGTGCGGTTGGGGAGCTGGGAGCCTGAGGGGCTTGCTCTCGTGGAAGGGGCACTGTGGGCCTGCAGAGAAGTGGGTGCAGAATCAAGAGCCAGGGGCCGTGATATCACCACCATGTGGGATCCCCCTGGGTCACCTAGGCAGGAACCCCCACGCCTCGGCTTCAGGGTCAAAGACAGAGCCTGAACCAGCAGCCTGGGCACAAGGGGTTTCCTGTACACGGTGCTGAGCCTGCCAGATGCTCACACCTGTCCAGAGGCCGTTCTAGGGCCCTGTCCGGTGGAGTGGCTGCCCTGCTCCAGAGGCCAGAAGTGGACCCAGGGAGGGGAAGAGCAGAGTGGCAGACACACAGCTGGCTGGGGAACCAGCCCTTGGCATTGTGTCCCTATTTTTGCACATTCATTTGGGGATGGAAACAAAGGGGATACAGACCCAGCCACATACATTTCTTGCTCTGATGGGGGGTGGGGGAGGTGTCATGGTCCCCATGCCACATAGACAAGCACGCACGTGAGCACACATAGGTGCACACACGCACATGCACGCACGCACGCACGCAGGAGCAGGGGGCCCAGCCCCAGCACCAAGTTACAGTGCAGTTTTATTCAGGTGCAGGATTGTTTATTCTGGGGCCCACTCTCCTTGCCACCCCACCCCGCTGCTGCCATCATCAGTCCATGGTTTACGCCTGTCTCGGGCTGGGAGCGGCTCCAGGGCCCCTGCCAGGGAGGGTTCCCCCAAGGTCAAGCTGGGCCAGGCAGGCTGGCGCCCCGGGGCTCAGCCGCAGTCCCCCACACCCTTGATAAGGTTGGCGGCCTCGGGGATCTGGCGGAAGAGGTTGCGCAGCGTGTCCAGCTCCTGGGTGAGCTGCTCCACGCGCCGGCGAAGGCTCTCGTTCTCGGCCATGTATTCCAGCACCTTCTGCTGCGTCTCCAGGATGCGCCTCTTGGCCTTGTCGCGGCTCTTGCGCACAGCGATGTTGTTGCGCTCCCTCCGCAGCCTGTACTCCAGGCTGTCTTTGTTCACGGCTTTCTTGCCCTTGTGCGAGGAGCCCGCCGGGGAGGGTGCCTTGAGGAGGGGGCTGCAGGGTTGTCCTCCGGAGGCCAGAGGGGCCTGAGGGGAAGGCACGGAGGGACAGAGAGAGAGACACAGGCTGGCAGAACAGCAGGAGAGGCGGCTGCAGCCAGCGGCTGCCACCCTGCTCAAAACCAGCCTCTGGGGAAGAAGGTGGCCCAGGCACCCTCTGCTTGAGACCCCAACCCCCTGTCCAGGACTCCCTCGGTCTACCACCTGCGGGCACTTCTAGAAGCTTGTGGCAGGGGAACAAGAGGAGGGGGCCATAGGGTGGGCAGCAGAGAAGTGGGAAAGGGGGGAGAGATCAGGGTAGGTCAGCCAGTCACAGGGGCTGCAGGACACGTTGGGGTCCAGCCACATGGTGGGGCCAGGGTGAGAAGTCAAGCCGCACATGTGTGCGTGTGTGTTTCAAAGAGCAGCCCCACACAGACTCAATTAGCAGGAATTCAACGTTTCTCCCTCCCACCAGCCTCTCTCCAGCCCTGGGTGGCAGGGAGGAGTACTGGTCAGCTCTTACCTTGAGGACGCGCAGGGGCTGGCTGGGGGCCGCCAGGGCTGGGGGCAGGTGCATGGCCGTCTGCCCACAGTGTGCTACCTGGTATTGCAGGGGGTTATAGCCACTGCCGCCACCGCCGCTGCGGCCAGCACCTCTGCTGCCCTCTGGTCCCCGAGGCTCCTCCTTCACGGCCACAGCCCTGGGGTCGTAGCTCCCAGGGCTGCTGTAGATGCCAGGCCCCAAGGCCTTCCTGTCGGGGCCGAAGGTGTGTGCAGGGTAGGCAAAGGGCCGAGGGTCCGGCGGCAGGTAGTGGGGAAAGGCAGGGGTCCCCGGACCCTTGAGGCCACGGACCTCCGGAGCTGGCTTCACAGCGAAGAGGTCGGAGAGGAGCTGCTCTTCCCCAGATTCGATGTAGGCGGAGAGGTCGATGGAGGTCTCCTGCTCGCACATGTCTCCCAGGACCCCTGGCCCTGCGCGGGCCCCTGGGAACTCGAGCGGCTGCTGGCCACCCCGGGGCTCACACTCGTAGTAGGTCGCGTGGGACATGGCTGGCCCGCCCCCTTGGCTCCACGCCCCCGCTGCCCCACTCTTGGGGTGCCAGTCGAAATGCGTGGTCTGCCGTCTCTTGGTGCCTCCTGCCCCCGGACTGCCCTAGACCTGCCCTCTCTGCCCTCCTGTCACCCACTCCTGCCGGGCTCCTCGGCTCCCTCCTCGGCTGGCCTTGCTTTTCCTTCCTCTGTGGTCAGTGCCTCTCCCCTCTTCCTTTTTTCCCCTCTCTCCCTGGGGGTGGGGGATGGGGGTGGCTCAAGGAGGAGTAGGGTGCACCCCAGAGGGACAGATGCAGGCCTGCAAGGAATAAGGCCTCGGTTAGTTGAGCAGTTAGTGGGCACTCGTTGGTCAGGGTCCAAGCCAAGGTTCTGGTGATACCAGGGAGATGCCCTCCTTCTTCCCACTGAGCCCCCCCCACCACCGGCAGGGGGGTGGGGGAGGGTTCCAGGGTCCTCACTGAGGCCAGCACCTCACTCTGAGTGTCCTCCTCCCTCGGATCGCCACCAAGCTCTGTGCAGAATGAGGCGCCAAGTCAGTCAGAGTGAACCAAGAAAACCCTCTTTCAGTGCCGACCCCCAGCCTGGCATGACTCCTCCCTGGGCACGCCTCCCTTGGGGCCCCTCAGTGCTGGGCTCCACCTCCCCCCAGGGGCTGCCAGTTCCTTTTGTAGCCCCACCTTCCAGGGCACCCTCCTGGGTGCAGGCTAGTGAGTGTCCTTTGAGGGGCTCCTGAAGTCACAGGGGGGAGGGACACGCCACACCCAGGGGCCTTTTGCTAGGCATTTGCCCAGGGTCTGCACACGAGCCCAAGCACTAATACGCTGCCACCCTGGCTCCCTCTCGCAGGCTGGCACTGCGTCCTCTTGCCCGCACTTGGCTGAGGCTCTTGCTTGGGATTTGGGCTCTGCGCCCCAGGCCCAGGCAGGCTGCTGTCTGGAACCGACAGTGAACATCTGGGGACTCCAAGGCCCCTGTCTCCCAGCTGCCCGATGGGTGCTGCCAGAGGCTCAGGCAGGCATTCATGGCATCTCTGGGGCCTGAGACGCTGCCTCCCATTTCCTGTGCCCTGGGCTGCAGGGCTCCCGAGCTCACTGCAGCTAGTTTGCTGTCTTTCCTTCTGCCTGGCCGTTGTCTGACCTCCCGTGTGCGGCTTCCTCAGGCGCACTTCCTCTTATGAGGCTCGAGAAGCCCTCTCTTTTGTCATCACCTCTTCCTGGGGCTCTGTCTCCGGGTCTTCAGCAGGAGGAGGTCACAGCCTTGCTCTCTGCACTCTGGAGTCTGCTGGGGGGCCCGGGGGCTCACTTCCCCTCCTTTTCCTTTTCCCTCCGGGAGCTCTCAGCTCCCTCCTGCCAGAGTCCTGCTCTGATCTGTTGAGGTTCAGAGCCCTGCTCTGGTCTGTTGAGGTTCAGAGCCCTGCTCTGGTCTGTTGAGGTTCAGAGCCCTGCTCTGGTCTGTTGCGGTTCCCCTGAAAATGGCACTTCTTTGGGTCCAGTGACATGGAAAAGACCCGTAGAAATGGTCCCTGCCTCGTTTACCACCAGAGAACCCTGTGGGTGCCCTGTGTTTGTGTGTGTGTGTGTGTGGGGGGGGAGCAGGAGTGTTTACAAGTGCACCAAGGGCTGGAGTGCAGTGAATGGGGTAGATGCTGAGGGGCTCTGTGTGCATGGGTCTGAACACTCACATGTACAAATCCCAAAGCTGTCTACCAAGTATGGAAGCATCTTTGGGCCTCTGCTCATACCCTCCCTCAATACAAGAACACTTTGTCCTCACAAATCGGCTGTCTGAGATGTTCACCCTCCTGAACAATTGCTGAAGACAAAATGTGTGCATAAGCAAATGTGGTGAAGAAGGCAGATGGTGCCCCGGTATTAAAAGATATAGCATCTGGGGTCTTAAAGGCTTGAAGTTACACAAGCGGCCATTCAACAGAGAAGTAACAAGCCCACATGCAAGAAGCACACCACCGGTGCAATCATGAGGAGTCATAGGGACCGGGTAATAGGCATCAGCAGACACATAACAAACAAACAAAAACATATTGTTGAGAATGAGGTGGGGTGGAGAAAAGATTCAAAGCCCATCTGTAGACAATGGAACAATCTCCTCACAGAGGGCCCACAGGGAAGGGATGAGTCACCAGGGTGCAGTAAAGCATTGATGAAACACACTATATTCCTCTGGTTCCCTGAGGCTTCCTACCTCACTACCATGCCCCCAGTGCTGCCTCTCAATTCAGACTAGACCGGAACACGTACACAGATATAGATAAGAGATGGGAGCTCACGACAGACAGGTTCCAGGAACAGGAGTGGGAATAGTGA